GAATCAGGTGCCCCACGTTGTTCAGTGATGACTGACCAACTAAGGAAGGAGTCTGATAAGCTCTGGAGTGCTGAGCCCATCTTCCTGCCCGGAGGGAAGAGAGAAAGGCTGGGGAATCCTCGGGATCAAGCAATGGCTAAGGAGAAGCCTGCGGCCATGGGTGATTTATGCCACACTACGGTTCCAGTCCCATTTAGGAATCCATTTTGCTGTGCTTAGAACAAGCCCAGGCGGAGGATTTGGCACCAGGAAACCCAGGGCAGCACCGCTCGGAGGAAGTTTGTGATCGTACCCCAGCACCATGCCCAGCTCCTTGACGTGAACTCTCATCTGGCCCTTGAGATACTCGGACAGCATCTTGCTTTTGAAATAGAGCTCCTGCAGCCGATCTTCCAGGTGCATGACACACTAGAAAGCAAAGGGAGTCGCGTCAGGGAGAAGACAGCACTACACCCAAACCGCAACCCAGCCTCAGAGCAAAACAGCCCAGACCCCATACGTCTACTGCCTCTTCCGTGGCCGTGTCTAGGTGAATAATTAGTAAGATATTCGCTGGCAAGACTCTGACTTTTGAGCAGAAGCCTTTGATTGCATGTTAAAGCAGAATTAATGAGACAGCTGTCTTGATTACAGAGTAGCGTTTAAATGGACAGCTCGAACAGCTACAGCAGGGGATGCACTGGCTACTGAAATCGTGGCTACGGATAAATGAACTAGGCAGAACCTTACAACCACTTTAACCTGTGAAGGGAAAGGATGCTTTAAAAACATCACCCGCTCGACTGTCATTCACACTTACGAAGTTTGGAGATAAATTGTGCTTGTAAAGCTGAAGAGTGGAATGAAGCAGGTTGGAGACGAGACTCGAGACTAACACTTCTTTTCCCAGCTTATTATCAATCATTCGTCTCTGGCTACTGGCCACTTGCACCGTCCATTTGTCCGTGTCTGCAATAATGCAGACGGCTTCTGCAATCGGTTCGTCCAGAACAGGATGCTAGAAACAAAAAATGAACAGCAGACCCCTGAGAATGACAAACAACAACGGTCTTTTCACAAAATGTCGCCTTCCTGGATAGCAGGGATAGCATCCCAGACACTGCTACACCTGAAATACAGTAACACGTGCTACCACTGCATTCCGTCTGTTGAAAACAGAGCTTTATTGTAAGCAAGGCACAGTCTTAGAAGGACGGTCGCTATTTTGCATTCTCTTCCAGGCTTGAAAGTGTGTCACTGGCTGACAATTACATCTTTTGATACTTGATATAAAGAGTTCTGACATATCTAAAGTACATTTTAAACCCCTAAAACTGAAAGTACCAAGACCCCAACTCGCTGCTCGACATGGCTGTGTTAACGAGGTCGGTTTTATTCCCAGTTGCCACGGGTTTCCCTTTAGGGGAGGGCCAGCAGAGGGAGTCAGGAACCAAGCCTGCGCCCAGCTCCTCCACTCCTTCCAAGTAGCGTTCCACCTCTCTAAAGCCACGGAGGTTTTAAAAAGGGAGTATTTGGAACCCCACTGTCCTTCCCCAATACATTTTTTGGGCTGGCTGCTAGGAAGCACCTCTGTCCAAAGAGTCCCACAGGGACTTCACACAGGGCTAGGATGCAGTTATTATTTGACTTGAAGACAAGCATATAAAATCTTGCTCGGTCCTTTCATATCCTCTCAGTCTTTGACTTCTGCAAGTTTAAGTGCATGGACACGCACTGCTATTAGGTTATATTTCAGATAAATCTGTTTCATAGCAGCAGCTACCTCACACTGCTGCCTCTGTTGCCTGAAGTTCAATTACACTTCACAAATGGCTTAAACATTCGGCCTAAAACACAACGGCTTAAACCAGCACCTAGAACAGCCACGCAGGGAACGAAACTCCCCCCCGCAGGGTTGGGCACGAGGAAAGGGGACAGTAATGCGGGGAACGGCCGCAGGAAGGGTAGCTGTGCCTGTGTAAGGTGTGATGCACGTCGTTAACTGGAGTGGAAGGAGGGGACATTTTGGAGGCTCCCAGGGGAGCGCTCAGAGAAGCAGACTGCTTACAGCCTGCTTTCCACTTCTCTCCTGGTGACTATAAAAGGGGTAGGAAACGCCACGCTTCCCAGTCATGCCCCGGTTCATCTAGGGAAAAGCTTCTGTGGAGAAGAGATGATTTCCAACACACAATAGAAGTGAGAGTCCCCTTAGGACAATTATCTTTATATTGTTTTCTCCTCTTCTGGTGAAGCCAGCACCATCTGACGTTTTGACTACAATCCTAAAAAAGGCGTAATGTCCCCAAAATGCTGAGCATTCCTGATGGCTTCACCACGGAGAACACGTTCTGCCCCACAAGCAGCAGCATGTTGGTTAGACGTGCACGGAAAGAGGAGGGAGCAAAGGCAGCTTCTGCACAACCACTGCAGCAAGACTCTGCGCCCAGAAAGAGATGCGCGGCAACCTCAGCGTTTGGTCTTGTTTAACATCGTTCCATCCTGTGGGCATCCAACCATCAGCAGGCTGCCAGGCCTACAGGAGACGACGGTTTCTCTACGGCTTAGCACAGAGATGCACCTTCCCAAGGGCACGAGCATCTCAGCTGGCTTCAGTGGGAGCCTAAGTCTTTGTGCTCCTGATTTGCAGTGAAATACCCACGTTTTTCAGACACATTAATTGAGAGAGGAGAAAAAATTGGTGACCTGGGACTGGAGAAACCTGAAGAGAGCTGTGACAGTAAATATTTCCACTGCCAGCAGGTTTGTACATTCAAAAACATTTGCCTTTC